CTTATAGTCCAGACAATGCGGTAGGCTTATTTTTCTGATCAAAATAGTTTTTGAAGAAAACATTTGTGCATTAAAAACCTCCTTTTAATCGGTCCGATGTTACATCTGAACCTGAAGTGTATGGAGTGAATTTTGTTCCATTATTATTTCGAGCAAAGAACACATTTTAAAAATGAAACTTTGAAGAAAAAAATATTTTGTTGATAAAAATTTTAAAAATGAAATCCAGAAATTAAACTTTAATAAAGGAAACAATAAAAAGTTTTTGCAAGTAACTTTGTGTTTTACATTTTTTTCCCCCAATTTTTTATTTTTCCTTTCTATTTTCTATTTGTATTTTCTATTTTTCAGTTTGAGTTTTAGGAATTGCATTCTTTTCAAATTGCATTGCATAGACCCCATTTTTTCACTTCAAGCCCAATACAAAAATATAAATTAATGTAAATATAAACTTGAATATAAAAAAAACAAATATAACAAAAAAAAAAAAAAATGTTGATAAAACAGCAAAATTACTCTCAAAACCTTTTCTTTATTTTAAATTTAAAGTTTCATTTCTGGATTGCATTTTTCCCAAATTTCCTTTTACAAAACAAACTCTTGATAGAAATAATGAAACAAAATTAACTCCATATAGTATTATCAGCTTTAACAGAAAAATCCTTAAAAATATTTGAAAACATAGGCTTTAAAATATCAATCTATTTTATTTTTTTGATTTAATTTAATAAATTAACCTATCAGAAATATTTTGATTTAGTGATATGACTGCAGAAACAACAAAAGATACGAATAAAAAAGTTAAATTAGCAGCAATATGACTAAATCTAAATATGTAATTTTATAGATTTTCATTTAAAAAATTGTAACAATTCAGTCTTCAATAAACAGGCAGCTTTGTTTTGCCCTCGCTTTAACACACAAATACTTCAGCCTTCTGCTCCGTTTCATTACCACCTCAGTGCAACATTACAACCAGGCGCTCTGGCGGAGACGGCAGTGCAGCGAGCAATCTGCAGAAGCGCAGAGCTCGCCATATTTTCTGGAGGAAACAACATCTTGACATGAAACAGCGCGGATTAAAACCTTCCTGATTTGCAATGCAAAAAACTCCTTGCTCTTGTCTTTTGCTTCCCAAACAAATCTGAGCTACTTTCAATTTTAGACGGCCTAAACAAACATAAAAAAAAAATCTTAAGACAACTGGATGCCCAGAAAGCAAATGAGAAAATGCAAATCAGGAATGGAAAATACCATAATCCAAAACACGGCTCCAGGACTTAGACATAGGAGTCCAAGTCCACATGCCCAAATATGGCTAATGCAAACTATTAGGACTCTCTATCAACACCAGGTGTTTGCTGAAGGAGGTTTTATACAGCTCCCCTCCAAGAAAACCAGACATAACTACTGTGGTTCATTCAGTTCATTAATTCGTTAAAACAAAAGACAATAGGGAATGATAAGAAATTAAACGTTTAGCTCTACCTTTATGATTACTCGTTTTCTTTTAATCTAGACTGTAATTAGGGTTTTATTATAAAGCTTAGCCCCTTCTGGGGAATTTATTAGGTCAAACATGTAGTCTTTGTAGCTCTTGTTAAATATTTATTGGTCCTAAACAGTTTTAACAGTTATCTCAAGCTATTTAACAATCGCAAAATACTAAGAAATTGGAAATGATCTCCGATCCCACACTGAAAACAGAAAATAAAAAAACTAAAACTGTAGTAAAGATAAAATAAAGGTGAGGACTATAAATTCCTTTGAACGTGTCCAACCAGCTGACAGTGGAGTCAGGTCAGCCTGAGGAGGTGGGAGAGGTTGGACAGAGGAAAGGTGAACAGGCGACCTTTGACTGACACTAACCCCGGGAAGGAAGGTGAAGAAGTTGTACTTCTGGTTGTTAATGACGTTCTTCGGGTACCTCTGCTCCCTCTTCTCTGGGTGGCCCAGCCACACGGTGCGAGGGCGGAAGTCCCCCATCCCGCAGCATCTCGACCAAGGGCAGCATCTGAAAGCAACAAGAGGAGGAGGGGGGACAGATTAATTCCTAACTTTTACTAAACAGGAATCAGGATGAGGAACAGAAGACTGTAAAATGAAGCAAATATGGAGAAATTTCCAGATCGTTTCAGGATTTTTAGACCAGGGTTGGAAGTTTCTTCCAGATGGCATTTTTCTTTTTCCAGGATTTTCCATGTTTTTTTTTCCAGTTTGGCCAGTACTTATACATCTTTGGTCAAGTCCTCTGACTTGACCAAAAGGCTCCATAAATACAGGCCATTCACCATGTTTTTTACCATTTTAATCATTAACTTTAGTATAGAGACTGTAAAACATGACTTTAGCTGACCGAGTGACACACTTAGAGCAGGAATTATATCAAAGCTATTAAAAAAAAAACATCACATTTTGCATTTAAAGTCGTAGGGAAACGGTTGTTCCATCCGTTCCATTTCCGAATTCTCCCGAGTGGTCCCCGACTTTACACGAGTGAAAAAAGTGAATGTGATTGGTGGATTATCAAGGGGGCGGGATTGTTGTGGCGGAAGGTTTGCACGCTAGTTTGATTTTGCCGGCGTCTCGGAAGCATCTTGCTAACCAGTTAGCAACTTAGTGCTAGTAGGTTCCCAATGGGAAATTCCATTGGGACCAAGTAGCACTAAGTTGCTAGCCAGTTAGCAACTTAGTGCTAGTAGGTTCCCAATGGGAAATTCCATTGGGACCAAGTAGCACTAATTGGCGACTTAGACCAGGGTTCCTACAGCATAAGGCAAGTTAAATTCAAGACTTTTTAAGACTTTTTAATGCCACTTGAAATAAAAAT